ATGCAAGTTGGGAACAACAAGTCTGAAGTTGCCAATGACTATTAAGGTTGTTCGTTTTTTTTCTGAAGACTTTTCAAAAATGGCATTTGCTCATTTTTCTGCCAAGAATAGCACCAAATGTTTACAGTGCACATTGTGATCTGTGGAGTTTGTTAACGTCAACGCAGTAAATGTTTAGTTAGTACCGCATAAATAACTACTCACCTCTATATAGATTCGTGACTTCTCCAATGGCACAATTACTGATGTGTCATTTGTGGAGTAATATTCAAACCACTAAAAATAGCGAATTTAACGAAAAACATTAGAAGCTGGAAGCCAAGTTCAGAAGAACTTTAAAAAATGCTTCAAAAGAAACTGATTAAGTTTGAAACTCTTACTTTTTTTATCGAAGGCAAGCAATATAAGCTTGCAAAAATGCAAAATTGGCTGCAAAAAAAAACAACTCCCAAAAATTAAATTAAAAGTAGATCGCATTAGATACATTAGTCAAGTAAGTCAACTACCAGACCTACGTCACATTTACTTGGATTCGTTTCTGATATCGATCTTGTATAGTATGCACAGAATAAATTCATCAAGTAATAAAATATTATGACTACACAAACTTACTCGATAGTTTTCATGATTTTTTTCAGTATGTATAGGTATAACGGATATATGAGAAATTACACGTCTAAATATTGTTATCAAACATGTTTGATCCGAGGATTTGCTATTTTTTTTGGGTCACCTCGACAAAAACGTAATGGAGATTCATTTTTACGTATCGTCAAAAAGTATTCATCGCATTTTTACGAAAGCAGGGATTTATAAATAAACAAGAGAGATGGAGAAGGCAACATAATTGACTACTGCTTTCATTACTGCGCAAAAATTATAGACTAAATGAGTCTTGACCCGAAAACATTTTGTCTTACACTAGCGCAAACGTCTATACATTTTGCGTGCAACTGATATCATACTTGAGGACAAAAGTCTGTATTTAAGAAAAGAGAAGTATGGCAGAAGTAAAAAGCCAATACTTCAATTAATTTTATGAATGAATGACTCACCTCAGATTCTTTGGGCGTTACCATTGTATCATTCAAAAATTTCACTAATACCAAATTCTGTAACTTTAGCAAGTTTTTTCTGTATTCTTCGTTCAGTTCCTAAAATTTAGAGTTTTATTTCTCCGCAAACTCAGATCAAATCTCTTCAAAATATTGTTGAAAAATATTCTAATACAGTTTGTCCCATATGCCCAAGTCAATAAGTCAATATCATATATCAAATTTCATAGATTCAACTGAAGGGAATCACTTTTTCGTTGTTGATATCTGCAAGAAAAATGCTATTCTCTCGATAAGTTGCTTCATCCAACGGGTCATGCCAATATTGCGCTTGGACAAGTCTAAAACTTAATAAAGTTGTAAAGCAAATTATTTATAATTTATTCACTTGCGCACCAAACTACGACAATAGGTGGTGGCGTAGCAAAGTAAAAGCTATTCGATCTTAATAAGTGTTTTGATTGCAATGTCGTTGTATAAAGAGCAACAATAATGTCACTAAAAGTATAAATTGAAGAGAAAAACAAACGTATTCTGGACAAATCTCGAGTATGCACCTAACTCCAGAAGGTGACGTATACGATCACAAATGTAACTTTCAACAGGGCAGAGTGGTAATCCAAATACTCCCTGATGTTGACCTCCTAATGAGATTAAGTTTTTCATAGGTGGATTTGGACAACGTTCTGCTAATGCGCGCCTGTAGCAAGTCAGAATTTAATTATTTCAAGTAACTGGGAGGAAAGTTTTTCAACTCTTTAGAATCATTGAAATTTGAATTAGTTTATAGTATCTTGCAATTAAAACTCCTCATTGAAGTTACTCGCTCAGTCTCTTAAGATTGACTCAGTATTAATTTTGAAATATTAGCATTTGAATAATTTGCCAAAGTTCGCGTGGCAATTATTATTTCAGAATTCTACCTTTCTCATAATTTCATATTCAAATTCTTATTCAGATTCTGTCATTCTTATATTTTCATAAAATGTAAAAATTATTCCCTTATGCAAATGTAATTCGAAACTTACAAAAATTGTGCGCCTTGGGAAAATCCTATTGAATTATATCCGTCCTTCAAATTCCCATCCTTCTGTATTGTTTCACATACATATGCAACCTGATCGTTTGCATTACCGAAGAATCCATGCTCTGTGTCCTAAACTATATTTTTCTGCGTGATAAACTAAAAATTGTCTCTCAGGCATTTTTTCGATATCCGCACCGTGAAACATTATTTGGTGTTCTTTGTTGGTTAGCAAAGAATGAGTAATTACTTCGCCAGAAACTTACTGCAATAACATTTGGTCCGATCATTACGGAATAAATATAAACTTGCGGGATATTTTCCTCCAGTAAATTCTTAATCCAACCCAGACTTAATGGGTTGCAGCAACTATCCCCTGAAAGGTTAAAAAGAAATACTAAACACCAATATTTTCCATGGATTAAAAAAATGTAGATGACTGGATAAAGTAAAAGTGTAAGACATTTAAGGTAATAATGAACGACCCGACTTTGATCAAAATTTTAAATATTACCCATGCCGTGCCACATTACAATCGGTGTAGGTTTCACACTGGTTTTTTGCTTCATAAGAAATTGACGTACAGAATTAGTATCAACAGCATTAGATGCAGTAGATATCAACAAAGTGATTACAGTTATTTTCAAAATTGCGATTATTAGTATCATTTCGGTTATTACTTATTTTAGTCTGGAAAATTGAGATCTTATAAAACTAGCACACTCAACAGTTCGTATTTTGAGCACGCACTTGCAGGGCATTAACAATTCTAGAAAATTTGGCTTTATTTGACCTTGACCTACGACCTATGGATCTTGTCAAGTCGCTGATCTTTACCCGTGACTCTTTTTCATTTCTGTTGCATAATTACTGCTGGGATAGAAAGGTGAGACTGAATGATCAAAAGCATAAGACAACAGTATAAGACCAATTTTATTGAACTAAAGCATACGAAATGTATTAATACAGAAACATCTGACCTTTAAACTTTCTTACTTATATTTGATTGCGTTTCCATTCTCTTCTTCCTTGCACTTGGATCAGGCATAGATAATTTAATGCTAATTAAGCAAATAAAAATAAAATGGATGCAAAAAAGCAGAATTGATTGAGTTATTTGATGAGAAAGCTTATCCAGTGGATTTAGAAGAATGTTTTACTTTGGCGAGCGAATTGCTGAAAGCTTACGCTCACTGCAACAGCTGATCTGCTGAAGACTTTGCGTCTCAAATCAAACTGGCAATTTCTTCGATTCCGATCGACACTGCACTCGAACTTCACAAAGCGTTCGTAAAAACTTGCCTCAGAAAGCTTAATGCTCGCTTTCTTGCATTCTTTCACTAATTTAAGGCAGAAATCAGTCTAATCAGTTTTGTTTGAATTAATTTTAGTTATAAAATTCGAACGTTATCGGAAAATAAAGGAAAGAATCACACAACCATCTATGGAATCAAAACTGATTTGGATTAATCAAACAGACATCAAACTCTACTCGAGCACATTTGTTGCAACAGTTGTCTGCTCTCAACTACGTCCTTCCAATCGGCTCACTTCAATCAAAACACAAAATTGCATTTGAAATTTTCCTTCAAATAATGTAAGAAAAACTTTTTACAACAGCTATAACCTAAACTTCGACCTTTGAGTGCAGCTGATTTCTGACTCTGCTTAACAGATGCTAATGCTGCAAATACGCGTCGATGATAGTTCGTGTTTCAACTCACACTTCTGATTAAAAGTTTGCAAGAAAGTTAATGCTGTTGTCTCAAATGATGCAACTTTATTACAGCATCTACTACATTTTTACGCGAAAATACTTATTTTTGGAAAGGCTTATTGTCTTTTTAGTATTTTTATTCACTATTGTTCACTTAATTAAAACTGCAGAGATAATTAATTTTCATGGTGGTCCCTAGCGACAGGCCATAATTACGTAATTAAGATTCTGCGTAATTTATCACTCCCTTAGAAGAAGAGTAATGCTGGTCTTCTAGTGTCAGACGCTGCGTTTCTGCTTATCATCGACCTCCATAACTCCTGATAGCATTTGAATATTAAACATGGTAGCATTAATCATGGTTTTCGTAGATTTGTGCATTGAAATTTGTTTCTAACTTCTTTGTCACTTAAAAGTACATGATTTAAATTATGGGTGGGACATCTATTTAATTCTTTTGTTATAAAATGTTTTTTACTACCCGAGTTGTAAGGGGCATGCTCTATAACTAGAGAATTTGAATTTGTTAGCGCTGCAAGCAAGTAATCTTATAGTAGTATATAAAATATGAGTTTTTAAAAACTGTTGGGTCTCAAGTGTTTGGTTTTTTCTTTAATAGGCAAAAACAAGATTAAGATTCCGGTTTCATGAGTATATCCTCATCAAAAATAACTTATGTGGCTTTATAATGGAAGTTTCTGCTATATTATGTGATTCGTTTGGCTCTCAGATTCTTTGTAGGTGCATTGAATGGTGGAAATGAGTGGTCTAATGTTCGTTAACAACTTTCTTGTCATTTCTATTGGTTTTCAGATGCTTTACATATAATGGTCAACTAATTCATTACAAACTAAAAAACATGAGCGATAACCATCCGCAGCTTCGACACGACTGCACGCTTAAGCTGTTTCAGAAATTGGAATCTGCAGTCGGTTTGAACTGCTGTTGTAAGTTGTTGAGATGACAATGTTTTTGTTGTATATAAAAAAAAGGCATGAAATAAAAACTGCAGTTAGCCTGTACATTTTTGTAAAAAATTGTAGGTTCTGGTGGAGAAATATATCATGTGAACTATCTAGCTGACCACATTGGGAGTTTGTATAAATCGGGAGAATGTAGTGATATCACATTAAAGGTATGAATGATTTTTTCTGCATATTGCGTGAATTATTTTCAGTAATTTCTTTTTGCATAATTTTTGGAGTATTGCGATATGACTTCATATTTGAAGTTGTATAGTTTTGGTCTGCTATTTTTTGCAATTTACCTCCGTCATCAATGAATACTAATGCCAAATATGATTTACTACTTTTATGTGGCTTCGATTGATCTTCGTTCTCAACCAAAATTTTCAAGTAAGGATGAGTGCAGTTCGGGTTCATTTCAGGTCGAGGGCTGTTTGATTCCAGCACACAAAATCATTTTAGCAGCTCGGAGTCAATATTTCAGGTAATTGCAAGCACTGTTTGAAGCTTGTAAAGTTTTTTCAGAAACGGTTTATTTCTAAAGAAATTTTGCAATTTGAAGTTACGTAATGTAAAAACTGGACAGCATCATGATTGAAATTTTATTATATCAGAGCTCTTTTATTCAATGGAATGCGTGAGTCGAGAAATACAGAAATCGAACTTTTTGATACTCCGCTAAATGGCTTTAAGATGTTAATGAAGTATGAATGTTTCACTTTTCTGTTTTTTGCATTTGTTTTGCCCTATATAATTTAAAAAAAATTTTTATCGGACTTGAAATATCTTTGTATTAAATTTTCTTATGGAATCATGTTAACTGCTAATTAATTTACTATTGGCGCCATTTTTTAAAATGTTCTAGTCTCTACAGATATATATACACTGGTAAATTACTACTAAGCTCGATCAAAGAGGAATTAGTGCTTGAGGTACTTGGATTAGCTCATAAATACGGTTTTACAGACCTCGAAATATGCATTTCAGATTATATGAAAGTAATTTTTAATTTATCCTTTTTTTATTGCAGAGCATCTTATCATATCACTGCACAGAACTATATTTTTTCATTCAGCTTCCTCATTCATATTCAAATCATAGTGGATAGTTGAGTATTTGTAAACTTATTGTAAATTTGATATGTTTAGGCAGTGCTGAATGTCCGAAATGTTTGTACAATATTTAGTGCTGCACATCTTTATTCGTTACATTCTTTGTGTGAAGTTTGCTTAAACTTCGCTGATAAAAATGCTACTGAAACTATTTCAACTCAGGTGAGGATAGTAATTAAATCGTCTCACTTAAAGTCTTGTTTAATAATTTTCACTTGGTTTCAGTCATTTTTGTAGATTTAAAGAGAAAGTAACAAATTTTTTGTAGGGTTTTCTAGAACTTCCTGCAAATGCAGTAGAACAAATGGTACAGCGCGACTCACTGTGTGCTCCGGAAATTGACATATTTCGAGCTGTTAAAGAATGGATCCGAATGCATCCTGAATCGGTTTTTTCTTTTATGACTCTAGTGAATTAACTTGTGTAAGTTGATGCATTGTTTGATTATATTTCAGGTAGAGGAAGCGCAGATGATCATTGCACGACTGCGTCTTTCTTTAATAAATCTGGATGATTTGCTTAATATTGTGAGGCCTTCTGGTTTAGTTGCTAGTGATGCCATTTTAGATGCTATCAAGGAAAGAAATGAAAAAAAAAGTGGTGAACTGAACTACAGGGGGTTTTTGTGTAAGCAACATGATTTCCTTCCCTAATGATTGTTGTTTTCTGTCTCTGCAAATTGGTTTTCGCGTTTAATACTGAGTGAATTATTTATTTATTTGTTTGGATGAAAGTAATCTAATTGTATTCAATATTTCTGCTAATTGGAGATATTTTGTAGAAATTATATAAGCAGCATAAAAATACATTTATATGGAAATCTCCTGATCATTTGTTTTTTAGTACCGAATGTAAATGTGATGACTTCCACGTTCAATGCCTCAGTATTAACTGGCGAAGGTTCAATCGCACTTCTCTCAGGCGAAACAAGTCGGTTCGATATAGATCGTGGTTTCACAACTCATGCTATCGGTGCTAAAAATCCCGGTATCATTATTCAGGTTGTACTTGCCAAATAATTATGAATAATTAAATATTCAGTGACCTAGTAACATTTGATATTAGTTACTAGTGGCAGGAAACTATGTTTTACTAATTTCATAAAAATTTATAGTACTCTAATGTTTTTGCATTGAAATGCAGACATTTAAAAATATACTGTAACAAATGATAAGATTCACTTTTCACACGTGTCTTGTAATTCATTTCGCAACTTTTTATGTCCTTAATCATTTGCTTCATTTGTCTCTTTTTCGATCAACAGAGTCAAAATGAAGTTTGATTTTTTTAATATTTCTTGTCTCGATAAGATTAGTAATGCTGTTCCAGCTTGGTCGTCCTTTCGTCATCAATCATATTCGACTTCTTTTGTGGGATCGCGATCAGAGGTCGTATAATTATTACATAGAGGTAATTTTTGGCTTAGCACACTTTTTTTCTCATAAAAATATTTTTTATGGAACCAGAACCTATAAAAAACGTTTTTATACAGAAAGAAATAAAGCTGTAAAGTTATTTTAATGTTCATATACCATTGATAAATCGGAGTTTTTAGTAGCAAAGTTTTTCGATCGACCATATACTTAATTTTAGGTAAGCATGGATCAAGAAGTCTGGACACGAGTGATTGATCACACACAGTATCTTTGTCGGTCACGACAGATGCTGTATTTTACACCTCGAGTAATCAAGTATGTTGTTATGAAGTTATCCAATATATTAATTTTTGAATTCCTTTCGTTATATTCAAATTTAATAAATATTTTTGAAAAAAGTTTGCGTTGACTTAGTATTTTATTATAGTATCCTGTGAATATTGATTAATTAATATCATTATATAGATATAAATCTGATAAATTCAATAATGCATTGTCAGAACTGTTTGGAAAGGTCTAAATTTTTATTCCAGCTTTGTACGCATTGTCGGAACTTACAATTCGGTAAATAATTTATTCCATTTGGTGAGTATTGAAGCTATGTATACAACGGAAACATTTGATGTTGACCCAGTCACTTCTCTACTTAGTAATTTTTAATCAATTATCATTGAATACTAATATTACTGATGCACAGAAAAATCAGAATGAATGTACAAGATTTGGTTGAATATAAAGAATTACGAATAAAAACTGTAGTCAGTTTACTATTAGAGAGCTATTTTTTCAATAAGCGAGAATTTAAAGCTTATTCATTCACCCATACAATGTAAATTTACTTCACTGTATTTAGCTAATGGTTGGAAATCGCATTTGTATTTCTTTATTTTAGTGTTTTTAAGATTTTGTGACTTTTTTCTCACAGTCGCAGTTTTTTCAGTAATTTAATTGACCTTTAATTTTCAGTTCCTAGTGAGAATGTTGCAACAATTGCAAACAATTCTGTTGTTATTGAAGGGGTTTCACGCAGTAGAAATGCTTTAATTAATGGTGAAACCAATAATTATGATTGGGATAATGGTTATACTTGTCATCAATTAGGATCTGGGGCGATCGTTGTGCAGTTACCGCAACCATATCTTGTTGACTCAATGCGGTATTTTTTCGCATTTGTTTGCTGTTCATTTGAATAACTTCAATGTCGTGGTGTAATTAATGTTTTCACTAGTCTAAAATATTTTTGTATTCTGTACATAAAACACAAGTCACTTAAAATTTTCACTTGAATATTTCGAGAAAATCATTTAGATTTCTAGGTTGACTGTTTATCCAGATACAGTGTATGTGTTTTTTTAGTTTACTTCTTTGGGATTGCGACGACCGTCATTATTCTTACTATGTAGAAGTCTCCTGTGACAATGTTAAATGGGTCCGTATAATTGACAAAACCCAACAACATTGCAAGTTCGTTTCGTTTATTTGTATGAAATTTCATCATATGTAGCTTCACAATTCTCGATTACGTGATCTGTATAAAATTAATTCTTAATTTTATTTGTATTTTTTCACAGAGCTTGGCAGGTATTGAAATTTGAACGTCGCCCAGTTGTGTTTATTCGTCTCGTTGGTACCTATAATTCAGGTGAAGTATTTCATGCTTATGGTTCTTCTTATTAGAAAGATTATGGACTTCATTATGAAAATTAACTATCGTGCAAACATTAGTTGTTTATGATCACAACAGTTGATTTTTATCTTAGCTTTCTTTCCTTTTCAGTAAATGAAGTGTTTCACTGTGTACATTTTGAATGTCCAATACAAAGAATGGCTCTCATGCCACCTGGATCGTTTGGTGCTATCACGAGTAGATTGTCAGACGGCACCGCTAGGAGTGATAACAATGATACAGTGCAGCCCGTAGCGTCTGTAGATTCCGCAGTGATTTTAGCAGACGAATCTTCTCATGAGTGATATATGTCTTCAAAAAAAAACTCACTCTTGAAAATTAGTAAATTGATTAAGACATATAAATCCTCAGCCATTCGAAAATCAGAGTTCAGATCTAGAGAAAAATAAATTTTCCTCTGTCATTTTTTTACCAAAACTCTTTAAATCAATTTTTTCAATCATGTCTGCACTTTTATTTATTTTGAACAGATAATGTTCGTCATTTTTTGTCAAATTACAAATTAATGCTTTATGTGTCAAAAATTGTTTTGGCTGATTTTCAGGAAAGTGCAGAGTGTTGCATATTATGAAGCTTTTGGTTACTAATTACTAGATTAGTCTGGTGAGCATGTATAAAAAAGCCGAGAGTGACGAAAATGTCATTAAGAAACAATTACAGTGGTGTATGTATAGTGGTGAGAATTTCTAGAAAACAAATTGCTCATTGTTATCAGTTTATTTCAAAGTGATTTGTAGCTTTAAAGTTTATTTAATCTTTTTCATTGTACAACTTTCTTTCAGGTCAATTCTAAACCTTTTGATGAACTCTTCATTGTTCTTCACATTGCAAGTTATGCTTAAGAATTTATTTCGGAGTGATTTCAGACAAGTTGGCTTAATCATTGTGCTTGATATTTTTCTGCATTATACTTTTTCTGTTCTTTGAGCGGGCATTCTTTGTATTTATCTATTCTTTATTCTCATTAACTGCAATAATAAAGCTTCTTTTATTAATTGAAACAATTTTATAGCAGTTCTATACTAACACAAAATCTGTTATACCTTTCCAGACTTTATATAATGTTTAGTAGGTCATATATTTAAAGTTACAGGCTTTAAAGATTTGTTGTATGTAAGTAGTAATTTACTTAGATGGATTCTGCATTAAAATGGTAATCAAATTGGTGGTATAATTTATTGGGCGAGAATGAAAGAATTAATTGATCTGGAAGTCGTCAATGCTGGAAAGATACTGCATGTCGTCCTCAACACTTTGCTGATAATCGAGGACATTTCCTTTGAACTCATCTAATAATGCATTTTCGTCTTCCTGTAAGCAAGAAGTCCACTTTTTCTATATTACAGACTATATTTCTGAGTATTTGAGTAGTTTTATTACTGAAAAGAAGCAATTTAAACGAGACTATTTGCAGAACTGGTCTGTAAAAGCAACCTGATTTAGTTTTTTAAACTCAGCTAATTGACAGACCACGAATTCAAGCACCTTCTTTGGACCTCTGTCATTTAATGGCAAGCTTTCGGTAATGTTATAGATTTCACTTGCTGCTTTCAGGAAGTACTCCAAGTCACTTTCTGCACCTTAAATCTTATTATTGTTGAAAGTTACGACATAAACTTGACGTGCTAAAGACATTTCAGCAGAATGAAGATTGCAAATTCACTTTTCAAATTCTCGTAGACATTTTTTCCTAAATTAATCACAAGAAAGTAGAAGTAAATCGGTAGGAAGATGAACTATGATCATGGTTTCCACATCACTAGTAATTTACTATTATAAGGAGATGGTTCAAAATTTTTCGACATTTATTAGTTAGTTGAGCAAGTCGGATTTCTTTTGATGAAAACATATCATCAAGATCGAAAAGCTCGAGACGAGGTGGTGGAAGCTCACAAAAGTTTGGTTGAAATACCTGCAATATGATGCATACTTATATGAACACCAATATAAAATTGTTGCAATGGGTATTTATCATTTAATTTCATACGTACGGCGGGGGCAAGTGGTGGTTGTGGTGTATCAAACTGTGGCACAATAAGTGATAGGGGTTCATGCTTTAAGCCTAGTTGATCGAAAGCTCTGCAAATTTCAAAACTTTTCAGCAACAAGTTATTGAATATGCACAACTGGTTATTAAGAATTGTCTAGAAAAATAAGTTGATGAATATTCAACATTTCTAGGACAATTTTAATTTTTTTGAACATTCTGTATCGCACAAGTGTAGCTGTTGCACACTCTCAATTTGAGCACTAATTACTGGGACATAGTTCAGAATTCGTTTATAAATGTTTTCTACTTAATCTTGCAAGCAATTTGCTTATCAGGCGAAATTGAAAAAATTTTATTGAGGACTCGTTATTATTTTAAATGTAATCATATAGTTTGCCTGATAATTCTAGGCCAAATGCTGAGATCCATTGAAAAAAGGCTACTATCGAAGAAACTGAGGAAGTCGCCACTTTGATTCATTTCATATTCCCCTTCTTGTAAGCAAACTTTAATCTTCTCTGAGAGAAAAATATGATCTGGTATTGGATGAGCCTCCATCAAGTTCGGTTCTTTGCTATCAATTTCATTGAGTGTAAAACCTTCCGTCACGAACTTTATAACAACATCCTGGAAAATTACAGGCATGCTTTGCTTATTTTTTCGTGCCATAAACAGCCATTTTACGACTGTAGTAAAAAGAAGATAAGCTTCATGCATAAATGATGGGCTGAATTGGCTTGAAAGTTCTTTTCTGAGATTTTTAACTTTTAAAGTCATAATATGGTACGAAACTTTTGAATAAATGTTTTCTACTTGATCTTGCAAGCAATTTGCTTATCAGACGAAATTGAAGAAATTTTATTGAGGGCTCGTTATTATTTTAAATGTAGTTGATAAAAGCAAATTCTCCATAGTTTTTTGTAAATTCTTTTCCAGAATAGCAAAATGTTCATTCAACTTACCCATATTTTGCTGTTATCCTCCTTATCAAAATACTGATCGGTGAAAATTTGAACTGAGCCTATTACCACGAGCTTTCCATCTTTTTCCTGAATTGAAAATATTCCTCTAGTAATGGAAATTTTTTGCTTCATTTTGTTAGAGAAATCTGAATATTCAAAAATTTAAATGCAATAAATTTCAGTCAAAGAACAACGATTTTAAATTAATAGTTGGTAGCTATAATAAGTTTTAAATACTACAATTTTCGTTTACCGTTTGATGAAATGCGCAAACGGGTCTGTCGTTTGGGTAACAAACAGTGCCTGTCGAGAGCACAGCTGTTGATCGTCGACCAACATTTAGAGTGGCACCAAATGGATAAACGAATTGTAAGCCACTAAAATGTGACAAAAAGATGGACTCGATCTGTTGATTAATTAATTAATTAAAAAATATCTATAAAATATATAAATTGCAAGAAGTGATTTTTCCTGTCAGTTTTTCCTTTATTTTTAGTTTCAGGATAGATTTGGTAACTCAATTTATCACTGAATAATTGCAAATGTCATTGTTATTGATTTGATTAAAAAAGAGAGGAATGTGGAGGTTAGTTCGTTCTTGCTTTATTGGTTCTGGCGCTGGATCACATTCCGGCACTCTGGCTGTACCTGTCCAGCGCTCATATTTGTTGTACTCATCGTTCTTGCTTTGTTCTCGTGAGGTCCATAACGATTGTCGAAGGAGATCTTTCGAGGGTCTTCTTGAGAACTAGCTATTTGATTTATGCCTCGACGTGATCAGATATACTGATCTCCTTCGCATAGCGTTTGTGGAAGTTCGTTACAATCCCATTCCAAGTCATCACATACGGAATTATTTTGGTTCGTATTTCATCTCTGACCCAAGCTTATTATCAAGTAGTCATATTTTGGCTTTTTCTCAGTCTCTGTCAACCTGTCCTGGCTAGTGATGCCAACCTCTATCAGGATTATTTCACGTCGCTTCTTATCGTGTTTTTCACTCGGGTATCGACTCTGAGCTCAACGTTCTCATTCGACCCCCAGAACATAATGGCTTCGCATCTGTAGAATTGCTTTTAGATCATACTTTTCGCAGAGTCCTAAATCGATGCACCGCAGGACCTCATTTTGCTTTCTAATGAAGTAATGATATATCATTTTCTTGCACTGCGTTACCAGATAGTTCACCGTCTTTCATGTCATCTACAATGTAGGCACATACTCGCATTTTTCTTCAGTTTTTGAAGAAACAAGCGAGTATGTCGCACACAAACTTCTCGCAATACAGGGAACAACACAAGGGTCATCTTCCTTTCCACATCTTCCCGAAATGGTCAAGAACTGCCTTGAGCATTTCACCTGGCGAGCTGCTTTGCGGAATCTCGACTCCTCGAATGATAGCTTCAAGTGTAATCATCCTACTAGTTACGGTAAGCTAGCAGAGAGCTCTCTTACATGTTCCACGGTGCTTTTCACAGCCTCATCTACTTTCCCATTGTTTTCCACCATGATTCCGGATGCAGTTTTTCTCCGTTCATCCTTCATTTTCTTCTCGGACTTTCTGCATTCTTCTTTTTTCGTTTCGAACTCGTTTTGCAACGAGTTTTTTTTCGCTTTATTCATGCCATGCGCATTATTCTTCTTCACTTTCTTCCCTTATTTCGTCTTCGTTGCTTCAGAAGTACTGCAACAAGGAGTTGCACGAGCATTGTCGTTATGGTCTGTTACTTCTTTTCTCCTCCTGGAAGTCATCTGTGATTAGAAAGGTCCTTCAGAGACTCGTTCCCAGCCATTAGATAACTGATCTACTGGTCTGCAGGAATCTCTCGTACTGCTACCATTTCAACCTTTCTGGCATCGTTGGCTGTCGATACCATTATGATTGCTGTCGTAGCTGTTCGCACTATTGTTTCCGCCGTTCACTTTCATTATCACATCATAACATCGACATAACAGACAGAAGTAGAACAGAGAAAAGAATAGAAACAGAAATTACGAGAAAATGTTGTGTTTTATCAAAGATCGGTCACAGTCTTCCGTCCACAATAATCTCATATTTGGGGAATTAAACCCTATATATATATATTTATTTATTTATTTATGATACAGGTACAGATGTAAACTAGCTGTGTTATTTAATATAAATTAGCAAAACTTATTGTGCGGTGATTTCTTCGTCATTAGCAGGAGTTGATTTGCCAGCGTTTAAGGTGAGAGCACGATTCAGAACACCGTTTGAAACTAGTGCTTCCTTGGGATCCAAGTATTTGCAAAAAATGGTTCGAATAACAGAATCTAAGAACTTCTTTTGTCTCTTTTTACCAAATATTTTCAAAGTTTGCATCAGTAAAGTAAACAAGCTATAAAACGCGCCATGTAAAATTGATGAATACAAATTTACTACGTACTGTCAAGATAAAAAATATTCATATATTATGCGCACGAAATTGTTTATCCATACTACGATTCGTGTTTCTACTTAAATGAGACCACTTAAATTTTATAAAAAATTTAAATCACTAAAATAAATTAGGAAATCCTTCACACGTTATCAATTGTAGAATTTTGATAGATTTTGATAAGTTAAAACTGTTTCGAGAATCGTCCAAAAATTTGCATCAAGCAATCGAAATAAAAAGATAATTTGATAGCAACGTCAGTCCTCATAAAAAGCCATAAATGGGATTGACCAAATAAAGCTGTCTTGTTATTACACTTAATCAAATGTTACGGTGTAACAGTAATAGAACTTTAATTAATTTTCGCTAGCTCATTAATTATGCTAAAAGTTACCATTATTGCAAGAGATATCGTATTGTTCTAGTAAATAATTGATATTTGTGTTGGCAGTTTGCTCACCACCTTCATTCATCAGTACCAATACACTGTTACCCTCATCGAGAAAATGTTGTAAGGCATCTATCTAAGTGATAATGTTCTTTAAAAATTTGAATTTTGAGTCAGTAAGCACTTATCTACTCATCAAAGTATTCGTCAAATGATCCTGTGAAAACAATCTCAAAGTAATATTTATAATTTCGAGCTCTATGTTTTTTTAGTATCAAACAATAATAAAACCGAGCGGTTGTTCCCAGTCAGTGCAATTTTCCATGCATTTCTATTATTCAAATGAAACATCACAAAATCTTTCTATGCAATACCTCATCCTGTGAAAACTTTGCCTTTGGGTAAGGTATTACAAATAAACAACATTCAGTAAAGGTGTTGTCGGTTATTTCGTCCATATTTCTGAAATCATTAATGAAACTGTAACAGTCGTTCTTGAAAGTAATACGGAAATAAAAATTTGGTATAATAATTTATTTGGCTCTGAGGTCAGAATAGTGGTATAAACATATTATTCATATGCCTTACACGCTCAATGTCTTATTGTTCAGTGATATCCGATAGTAAAAATGATTGTCCAAGCACAGTGTTATGGTTTTCGAAAATTTGGCTTACTAGATTCATCCTTTTAAGAAGTGATTTTACAATTGTGGAAGAGCTATACTTTTTGCTGCTTATTTTGATTTAGCGGCCAAAATTTAAATGGCCATTTGCTAATGCTTGTTTTTAAAATGCTAATCTGCTTAAAGAAATTATAAAGTTGACACCTAAGATGGTACTCATTGATATGAAGTCAGTTTAATATTACGAACATTTCAAGCTGCCATTCATTGCGTAATCTTTGATAAATTTGACGGAAACCAGAATGAAAATGATATGGTTCTTTCTTTGATTGATCAAACAAAATTCGAGTAGCACTCGAGTTTTGATTCTAAAATATTTCAAAGATTCATCATGGATAGGAATCCTATACGAGTGGCAACAAAACTTTAGAGTTAATATACACATGCTTTATATAATTCAAGATGAAAAATAAAATTTTAAACGCGCGTTTTTGTTAGGAAAACTAATATTTTCATACCTTTGCAGTACTGCCAGCAGGTTTATAAATTGAATTACTGAGTCGGAATTTTGATTCAAATGGGATCATTGATGTCATTGATAGAGTCAGCTATACGCCTGCTTAATACTAATTAAAGTCTTGACTGCTACTAAAAATTGAGCGTGCTATTAATAATAAATTAATTGTTTTTTCCAAACATGGTCATTCTAAATCTATAGCTCTTTTTGCTTTTCAGATGACAAAACCATACTAAGGGACAAAA